TGTGTTGTGTGTTGTGTGTTGTGTATGTTGTGTTGTGTTATGTGCGTTATGTGTTATGAAGTGTGTGCGGTGTGTTGTGTGGTGTGTGTTGTGTGGTATGTGAAATGTGTTATGGATTGTGTGCTGTGGGTTGAGTGTTGTGTGTTGAGTGTTGTGTGTGTTGTGTGTTGTGTGATGTGTGTGTCGAGTGTTGTGTTGAGTGCTGTGTGTTGTGCGTTATGTGTGCGTGTTGTGTGTTGTGTGCTGTGTGGTGTGTTGTGTGTTGTGTGGTGTGTGTGCTGTGTGTGCTGTGTGTGTTGTGTTGTGTGTTGTGTGTTGTTTGCTGTGTGTCGTCTGTGGTGTGTTGTGTGTTGTAAGTTGTGTGTTGTGTGCTGTGTGCTGTGTGCTGTGTGCTGTCTGCTGTGCGTTGTGTGCTGTGTATTGTGTGTTGTGTGCTGTGGATTGTGTGTTGTGAATTGAGTGTTGCGTGCTGTGTGTGGTGTGTTGTTTTGTACGTGCGCGTGTGTGTGTTGCGTGTGTTGTGTGTGGTTGTGTGGGCTTGTGTTCGTGTGCGTGTGTGTGTGTGCATGCGTGTGCGCGTGTGTGTGTGTGTGTGTCTGCATCTGTCTGTGTGTGCGTGCGTGCGGGCGTGCGTATGCCTGTGTGTCGCGGGTTCGCTTTGCTCATCTTCTCTTTTACTCTGTCGCCGTTTGGTCGGAGTGGGGCGACCTTTGCGGGGATGCGTACAATCTCTCTTGGGCCTTGTTGGTTGCCCAATATGTTTGGTGTTGCTTTCACCTGTCGCCGATAGCCCTTCGCGGCTCTTGTTGCGACTGGGGCTTGCTGTTCTAACGCTGGCGTCTGCACTGCACGCTTGGCCATGCTCGCGCCTGTCCTTTTACCCATGTGCGAGGCCGCGCTTCGCGGCTGTTGCTCGCGGTCGCCCGCGTTCAGCTATGTTTTTGCTGTCAAAGGCTAAGCTAGCCTGGGCCGCGTGCTATCTATATCACGCCGACCTCATGCACCTTGTTGCACGGTCGCTCCAGCTCTTACTTGCTCGCTGCAGGGTCAGTGGCGTTGCTCTGTCGCGTCGTTTCTTGCGTGTACGCACCGCCACCAAGCTGGCTGGCCTGGCAGCCTTACAGTTCTTGTTCGTTGCTGTCTTTTTGAGGCTCCAATCAGCACCAGACTGCTGCTTGCGCTTCAAACTACCCGCATCGAGTTTCTGTTCCTCGGGACTTGTTGGCCGCTGCACTCTGGCACTACAGCGCCTCCCGTTTTCCACCACCAATCGGCATTGCCGTGACTGGAAACTTGTGTCATGGCACGTTCGACTGAAGTCGTTCGCGATTGGCACCTCCACCTGCCGACAGCGCCTGAGGTCCCTCTGCGCAGCCGACTGAAACAAGTGAGTGTATGTGTGAGTGCGTGCGTGCATGTGTGTATGTGTTGTGCGTTGTGTGTGTGTGATGTCTTGTTTGTTGTGTCGTGTGATGTGTGTTGTGCGTTTTGTGTTGTGTTGTGTGCTGTGTGTTGCGACGTGTGTGAATGTGCGTTGGGTGCTGGTTGTTGCGTGTTGTGTGGTGTGTTGGGTGGTGTGTGCTGTGTGTTGTGTGTTGTGTTGTGTGTTGTGTGTTTTGTATGCTGTGTGTTGTGTGTTGTGTGTTGTGTGTTGTGTGTTGTGTGGTGTGTGGTGTGTGGTGTGTGTTGTGTTGTGTGTTGTGTGTTGTCGTGTGTTGTGTGCATGTGTGTGAATGTGTGTGAATGTGTGCGAATGTGTGTGAATGTGTGTGTGTGACCACATTCAAGCTTTCGGGCGGGGAGGCGGCAGAGACAACGGACGACGTTGGGCAGCGACCCGAGGCCGTTTGGTGAGAACCTGATTAAGACCATTTAGTGATGGCTGTGAGTGTCGACATCCCAACAAGTGGGCTAGAACCTGGCGTCTGTAGATCCAGGGTCTGCCAGCCCCCTTGGGAGCGCCAGGCTGTGGTGCTCACTGCTGGACCAGTGCCTTGCTGGTACGTTTCGTCGTCTTTCTTTCTCGTGTCACCTCTGCTCTCCCGCCTCGTCCTCCTCCTCCTCCTCTTCTTCCTCACGTCGATTGTTTTCTGTCTCCTGTTCTACCGTCTACTATGGAGGCTGGCGCCACCCCCCCACAGAAAAAAAAACACGGGGTCTACCATGTAGCTTCCCGGCCGCAACCGGCTGCCCCGGAACTCTAAGAAAGGCATAAAAGAGGCCTCCAGGAGCGCGACCCAAAGAGAACCCCAAGAGCTCAAGGCGGCCGAGGATGGCCTCCAGGCGGCCAAGACGGCCCAAGAGAGACAAACAACCTACCAAGAAGACCCCAAGGCTTTCCGAGAACCCGGCAAACCCAAACGCATCATGCAAACATGCAGGGTCGCTATGCTTCCTACGCTGCGCCGGCTCTTCTTCAAGATAGTTTCAAGATTGCCCAAGACGGCATAAAGGCGACCTCTGAAGCCCCAAGACGCCAGCATCATCGCCCAATGTGGCTTCAAGTCGACCCCAGAATGGTCTTAAGAGTCCCTCAGCTGGCTCCCATGGGACCTGCGATGCCCCTACGAGGCTGCCACATGGCCCAAGAATGTCCCCAAGATGGCTCCACCTGAAGGAGCCGTCGGCAAAGGGAGCAGCCCTCCCGATGGGAACATTGCTTCGGCGCGGGAAGCTCATTTAGAGTGAAACTGAAGGATTCGAGCAGGAACGGGAGAAGCTAAACTACTACGCGTAGATTTTCATGTACCCTGGCGGGAATCTCAAGCTTGTCGATCTGAAGCCTGGGTTCTTGACAAGAAACTTCGAGTACTTGACCGAAGCGTGGGTTGGAATGTGTAAGACCTTTGTAGGTCATGAACCTTTGAAGTGGAAAGTGAACTCTGAACGGCAGCCTGCGGGCTTGAGGCGGCACTGCTGGTCCTTCTGACGTGACCTGGATGCCAGTGTGCGGCAATTTGCAGGTGTGATCGAGAAGCCAGAAGAAATGTGGACGCCGATATGACAGATTTGGGCGAGAATCCATTGGCTTCCAGGGGAAACTGAAGGTCTTCGGACGCGTATCAGCTGCCTTCGGACAGGACACCAGAACCTTCGAACAGGAAGTCGGAGCCGTCTGGTGAGGAAACCTGAGGTACTGTGGCCGGCATATGAATATAACGTGTTCGTGCATGCACCCCAGATCGTTGGACCTGTGGGCGGGTATGCGTTGTTTCCATGTTTCTTCTTGTTGTTGGGTCTGGAGCTTTGCGCTTCGGGTTGGAGCCATGGTTCCTCAGGCGGGAATCGGGATGTCCGAGTGGGAACCTCGAGGCCAGACCCTGGGGATCTTCGGGCGGAACCTGAAGCTTTCAGTCAAGAACCTTCCGATCTTTGAGCGGTGACCTAGAGCGTCTGGGAAATCCAGGGAAAGTTTGGCAGGAAGCCAGAATCTGTGAGCGGGCAACTTAACGCTTTGAACAGGGAATTGGGATATTTGTGCGGGCACCTGAGGATTCTTGGGCAGAAACTCACATCTTTTTTGGCGGGCAGATCTTTGCGTGGAAGCGTTGTCTTTGCCCGCACAATGGTCGAAGAGGTACCTTCGCCAGTGAACCCGCCAGAACTTAAGCCACTGCCCCACATCAAGGCATCTAAGAAGCGAGTCGTGTAGTTCTAAGAGCTCCACGGGAGCACATCCAATTGTGCTAAGAGCTCCTGACATCTCCCCGGAAATTCCACCTGCTTCTTACCCAGGGGGTCGCCCTTACGGTCACATGCCCTGGATCGTGGTCCAAGAGTCATTGAAGAAAGCCTAGGGGCAAAATGGATGCATCATAGAGAGATTCCATAGAAGAGCATCTGGTCATTGGGGGAGGAATTGGGACGAAGTCCTCTTGCCGCTCGGTATGACGGTATGATCGTATCTGGGCAGTTGCAGGACATTGGGAATGGAAGTTGAAGGAGGCAACAATATCATTGCGGGAAGTGTGTACGAACGTGCGCCACAAAAGGTCCGTACAGGAAACAAGTGGGCGAAGGGATTGGATAGGCTAATCAATATAGAGGGCAGCAAAGGGAGAATTGGGATCCAACCGCTTCATTGGATAGGTAGCCACGTCAAAGGTCCATTTGGGTGCATATACGACTGAAGTTCCCCTTACAGGTCCACCTGTAAAGACTGTCAGATGTTACATGTCTGCTGTAGGTTCGCGACGAAATACGCAGTGCAGGCCACATGACTCCGAGGCTGCAGCCTGTGGGCAGTTCACAAGGCTGGTTTCAATAGTTGCCAAGGTCGAATATGTGACCAGCGCTTAGGGTAGATTATTATAGCTGGTTTATGTGGCTCGGCCCAGCTTCACTAAGTTGTAATGGCAGTGCCTACGGCTGGTCCCCATAGTCCGCTCTTTCGGCGGAGCCAAGTAGCTCAGCCATTGAATAGTCGCTCTGTCGCTTGCTCGAAAGGCTTCGAGTATGTTTGCTTGCCCCATTGCGCCTTTTACAGTTTGTATTATTATTTACAACCCACATTATCACATGATTGATTAATTGAACCCTTTCCTGTGTACCTGACAGTATACGTGCTGGATTGTTTGATTGCTTGCCTTACTGCTTGCATGCCTGCATGCTCACCTGCTGGGCGGCTGCCTTTCGTACTTGCGTGCATGCTCACATGCTTGCGTCTTTGCTGGCTTGCGTCGCTGCTAGTCAATATAAGTTCACGACTGCACGCCTACATGGTTCCATTCCTGCATGCCTGCGCGCTTGACTGTTTGTTCACATGTGCTCGATTGTTTGCGTAGTGGCTTGCACGCTTGCTTCCATTATTGCTTGATTGCGTGCTTGATTAATTGCTTGCTCGACTGCCTGAACTCACGTTTGTTTGCAGTCATGCCCCTTCGGAACAACGCTGCTAGAATAAGGAGCCTCTGAGGCACAACGCACAAAAAAACTAAGGTTGAATCTTCCTTTACTGTAAACCGTGTTTGAATAATGCCGATCGTGGGGGCACCGGGGTCCTTGACGAGGCCCACGTGAGCGGACAGGTTCACGTCGAGATCCACTGCGCGGTCGCACCGAAAGGTGGAGACCTGCTTCTGCAGCACAGAGGAGAAGACGCTGCGCAGCACCGAACGCGAAAATTCCAACAGGGCCTGCGGCACGATCACGCACACCAGCTGTGTGGTGTCGGCGAGCACGAGCGCGAGAAGCGGGGTGACAACTGTTGTCTTCCCCTGGCCCATGATCATCTGCTTTACCGCGCTGCTGTTGCCCCTGATAGTGTTCAAGAACTCCTGTACCATCTCCACCTGCCTGGGCCGGAGGAGGAAGCCTGTGACAAACTCGAACACCATGAACCTGGGGCACAGGGGCGCAACATGAAATCGCCTGCGCAAGGCAGAATTGCTCAGCGGTGCCCTAGAGGTCCCAAGGCACATCGGTTTTTTAAAAAGGTCATGGGGCACCTACTGGCAGGCTGTTTGTGTTACCTCTCACGCGCGCGAGGGGCTCCAGCGTCGCCTTAAGGAATCCGCACGGGCCTCCGAAAGTTATATGCTTGTGTTGCTTTCTGCTCTTCGGCGACTGCAGGGCAAAGACAGCAAAGCAGAAAACACTTATGTTGCATCTTCGGTGGACCATCTCGGTCGCATCCCGACGCTATCCGCGTCGAATCCGCGACAAACCCACGTCAAACATCGAATCCGCGCCAACTCCACGCCGAACCCGCGCCAAATCCGCACCGATGCTACGCGGCAGCTGCGCCGAGTCCGCACCAACCCGCGCTGGACAGCAACAAAAACAGAAGACAGCAAGAAGAAAAACAACAAGTTGAAATTAGCTCGTTCCTGAAACTCTGAATCCCCTAAAGATGCGTCTCTTGAGGGCACATCGTTTACTTCCGTCGGCCTTCCGCCTGCTTCCGCCTGCGGGAGCTGTCCTCGCTTTACTTACACCACTTTCCGCCAACCTTCCGCCGCATTCCCTCATGGAAGTGATGCCAACGCCTTCGATACTCGCAGGCGAGGACATTTCCGAAGCGCGCCACATGACAACAACAGAAAAACGGCAGGCGAAGGTCCCGCGAAGATGCAGGCGCGAGAAGACGGCCGGTCAACGTCACGACGACGGCCCACGGCAGCGGAGGGCCGCCCGGACGGCTCGGGCCGGGCGCCCCCATCGGAGGCCCAAAGAGGCCCGAAGACACTCCAAAAGCCTTCAATCCTGTAGAAAGCCCGCCGCATGACCCGAGCAAGAGCTGCGGTGGCCTTCACTGCTGCCACGGTGGCGAACTGCTGGGCGTGGGACACGATAGCCGGATGCTACGGTATCTGCCTTCCCCTGCCAGGATAGAGGAGCTGCTCACGGAAGCTGTTGGTCGTCCCCATGGCGCCCAATAGCGCGTCCAATAGCGCCCAACAGCGCGCACAGCGCGCAAAGCGGACGTAATGCATCTCCATCACATGGCGCAGTTGGGCGTTGCTGGTTGCTGCGCCCCCGAAAGTTTAGTGTGGGATGGTAAGCCTGCCCATGTACTGTCTTAGACGTAGCCATTTACTCGGTCTGTCGCATCGCGGTAGCGATAGGGCACGAGAGTAGAGATGACCGCGCAAGCGGCATGAGGGAAACACATCTAGAGTAGAGGGTGGAAGCTTTTCCGTATCGATACTTGGTAGCGTGTCGCGGCGCGACACGGTCATATAGGCGGCCGGACGCCTGGACCAAAATGGCCGCGGACAAACGCTCGCTACTTATCGCCCTTGCCCCTCCTTCAGAGTTGGGGGGGAGGAGACGAAGCGTGAGTCCGCGTCTGGCCTTATTTGGTGAAAAAGCTACAATACAAGGAAAGGCAGCAGCAAGCAATTCTAGACCGCGGCGGGCTTACCCCGCATCGCATTACTCCGCGGGCGGCTCAGATGTTCTCGTCTGGCCAGCCCTGTACGGAGTATGTCGCTTCAAGTCATGCTTGAAACATTGTATCCCGTCCATGACCTGTAGGCGCGCATCTCGATCAATGCTCCCCTTGGTGTGACCATATGCGGGTCGCGGGTGTCACACCGCTGCACGCTATGCACGATACCGCGCTCAATCATCTGTCGCATCCAACTGATGTGAACAAGGAGGGTAACTTCAGTCGGCTTCCCTTGATCTTTACTTGACAAGGATTTGAAGACATATCCCGCATCAACGGTCAAAGTGACCTTGATGCTGAGGCCGCCCATCTCAAGAATAATATTCAAATGAGTGGGTGTCAGAGGCCCTGCATATAGTTCGTGTAGCGTGACGATCGTGGGATAGCTATCATCCAAGTTGTGGGCCGCTGCTGGCGCTTCAGCCGAATAGCGACTGCGGACATGCAAGCGGTGAGACTTGCAGTACGGGTCGACAAGATGGACGACAGGCGTACCAGCTGGCGCGTGCCCACGCCTTAACAGGTTTGCCCCGCGAATACCATAGCCGTCGACCTCATCATCGGCATCGCCGTTCAAGCGTCGATAGCTGGAGTCGCTGCGCAGGTCTACCTCACAAGTTGGTGGCACCGCTACATAAACGATCTTCTTTGGGTAGGCCTGCAACTTCCTGGTAGTCGCGCTAGGTCGTCGCACTTGCATGCGGGTCGGTTCTTGGACGCGCTGTAAAGATACAATATACACCACGAGCCGTTCTTGCGCTATTAGGGAGTAAGCCAAAGCGACTCTGAAGCTGACGAACAGATCAGCAACCTCATTTTATGCCTTAGCCTGAGCACCTGCGCCCGCGAGTACGCGGTGCTGGATTGGACGGAGTTGTTTTATATATTCGTCGTGAACAAGAATACTAGCACCGTCATTATGCTTAGCGCATCTCACAGCGCACTTGGCACAGCTGTGTTTGTTGAGTTTCTGAGTTCCCACTTCCCAAGTGCATCCTCACACTTGACGCGCTTGTCAATTGCGTCCTCGGTGCCGACCATGTTTATAGCATCAACAGGTTCGGCAGTGAGCATGTTGATGCTCGTCTCAGACTCCTCGTCAAGGACGTTGGCACGAGCCCACGGCTTCTCGAGGTCTTCCTAAGTTTCAGGGAGAAGGCTCTTGGCGCATCTTTGGTGCCTGCGCCTGGTTTGAGACACTGTGAACAATGTTTTGACTCGTCGTAGTGCTCGCACCCTGAGAGCGATCTGAGCGCAGGTGCTGACCGAGGCAGCAGCGCAATACATACAATGCGCTTCTTTTCGCCGGTTGCTTCAGCGAGCTCGCGATATGCGGGCCCGTCCAGGAAAGCCATGTTGATGCCAAGGGAAGCAATGACCCACTGGTACCTGCACGCTGCCGCGCTAGCGGACAATCATCTGATTGACCGCCGCGCCGTTCCTGAAAACGCATCTACGTCAAAGGCTTCGAGATCAAAGAAACCTCGCAGTACCTGGCATGACCTGATGGTACGTTCCACTTAGCCATTTTCGTACTTTACACATTCCCATTAGCATGCGCATCTCGAAGGCATGATGTTAGACGCTTTGGATATGTCTTGTAAATTAAAACACTTGTTGTCAAACCATGCCGAGGTCAGTGTATAGGGCCTTCGATAGCTTGACTGGATTCGCCCGGGCATCTGCCCCTGGGAGAAGGTCGGCCCCCTTAACGACCACAGCTCTGTAGCTGCAGCGGTCACATAGCATCGTGGCAACACGGTCGACGCCCATTATCCTACGTCGTTGTTCGGATAGAAACACATTCGACATCTCCGCCGTAAGGCAGAGCTCCACAAAGCGTCCGTGCTCGTCGCAGTCTAACCCATCACTGTCATCGTCACCCGTGGTGCACAGCCGGACATGATATGTCTCGGCTGTGTTGATGTTTTGTGTTTTACCCCACGTAGGCATGTGCCCTTGCTGTTCGTCAGCAGCTGTTACTGGCACGCTGTTGTCAGGAATCATATGTGTGTACGGTCTAAAGTTCTTCTACTGTGGGTGCTTCCAGTGGCCCCCTGTCGTCTTGCAACTCCGTATACCATACTGCCACAATATGCGCCTCAAGGTCCACCTTCGAGTCCTCGTGAATTGTGGGTAGCCAGCCATCATATTGCGGTTGTTCGGCTCCTGGGGCCTCTCTGGCACTACTGCCTTGTATCGGCATGTCTGCCAGTTCTTCGAACTGTGTCATGTCCTGATCGAAGCCCGCTTGTGGTTTTGTGGACTTGAGGCAGTGGATGATTCTCGAGTGCGCCGATCCAATAATATCTTCGATGTTTAGGGCAGTGCCTTCAGCCTCGTAGCAAGGAAACCCTGGATTCACGTCGTTGTCATAATGCACCAGCACACAGCTGTCAGCATACGTTACCAGAAGTGATTTGCGGATACTCTTAGCTAACCGATTGGAAACAACATTTTCGATACGGGGGAAATTTCTGATAAGATACTGGAAAGCTAGGTGCACCTTCGGAGGTAATCGGCTCGCACTTGTCGTCTGGAGTTTGCCCTGTTCTGTCGGGAGATAGCGCGAGGACATAGCAGGGGGGGGGCCGCAAGCACACCCGCGACGAAGGCCAACACAATCCGTAATGCTGCGTTGTCCGGGCCAATTTCTCGAGTGATCAACGCTTCAATGCAGAGCGCGTGTCTAGCATCGCCGCATTGTACTTGCACGTCACGGTTCCCGACCCGCACGATAACTTGACCCCTTTTCGGGATCGCTTCGCGCGACCAGACATGGTCCATTCCAGCCATCACAGTCGTCTTTCGTGGTTGTGGGTCGATGGTAGCCAACCAGACCGCCTTCGTTGTCGTAGTGCTGACAAGCGATGGTCGTCTTAGTTCGTAGTGCACGGTACGTCTTGACTATGGCTGTGGCCTGTGTGATAGTTTCGATGCTCACGCGTCGGCTAGTCCACTCTCGATTGCGATCGGATACATCCGTCTGTCGTTCGTGATCTAGAACAGGCAAGTCGGGAAGGCATAGCTGGCTGTCGGCCGACCAGTGCGTTGCATGGTGTTACTTGGTTGTAAATGGTAAACGCACCGCTGGCAAACAAAGCCTCGTGCCGGGCGAACACGAGCGGCATGTCTAACCTATTAAGTTCAGCCTCCGCGATCCGAAGCAGACGTCGCAGTATGCCGCTTCTGGTTTCAACGGTGGTAGCGCGCTGTCCGCGCGGGCGCATTCTCAGCTCAGCGCCCTTTGACTTAAGGACTGTCTTCGCGGAGTCCTTGTTGAGAGCACCTTCTCCGTCGGAGTACAGTAGTTTGACGGGCCCAATGTGCATGCAGCACGGATGGCGCGCACGTGGGATGCCTGTCATAGTTTTGTCTAGTACCTCAAGGCCAGCGCCGCATCAAATGCAACGGCCAATGTGGAATACCGCATGCTCCTGTCTGTAGA